TTATCTGACTTGTCAAGTACGTCAAGTGACGCAAACAAATGAGGTCGCGCATACGACAATTCCGCTTCAGCCTGACGAAAGGACCACAAAAAGGTGCATACAGTCAACATCCCACACCCTCGTCAACAGCTCTTCTGGGCAACAAGGTCACGGCTGTGAAGAGCACCGGTGCTCCCGGTGCTTGATGCATGCCACTCGGTGCTCGACGCCTCGGTGGGAGCGTGGCGCCGCAGGTTCAGAGGGTGGCTCCGAGTGGGGTGCGTGTACGATAGCGCCCCCCCCCCCCCCCGCCCCGCCCCGCCCCGCCCCAGTCCTGTGTGAATGTCGATATTGGTGCCATCTCCTCACAAGTGTCTCGCCGTGGCCTTGGCCACTCCGCGCTGCAGCGGTCTGCGCGCGGCGCCCGGCTTTTTCGTGGGCGCTGCATGCGCAGCTTCTTTGCATCGATGTTTGCTCCGCACTATCGGCGAGAATGACTCAGGAATTGGGCCACAGTTCAAAGCGCGCCAGCTTCCTTCTTTATGCGGTCGCCGATACCTGACAAGGTCTATCTCGGAGCGAGGTTGCGTCGGCTTGCGGCGAGTAGTTTCTTTCGTGTTTACCCACATAGAATACGCTGGACTGTGCACACGGTGCTTGCTGTGTATCCATGCGAGGGTGGGATTTGTTTGCTGTGAGCCTTGCGTGGCTCGTCTTAAGCACCCGCTACCCGAAGAGTGTATGAGGAACTCTGCAGCCTATGACTTTATCATTTGATAATGACTCCTAATTTGTTTGTTGCTTTTGTTGTTTTTTTTCTGTCAAGCGGCTGAAAACTTGTTGCTTTCAAAATGCCGTTTTGAAACTTCATTTCCTCTAGGCGTCAAAGCGTGTGTTCACGGCCGTTCGTGCAGTCACATGTCTGTGCTCGCAAAAAAAAACTCCAGCCGCGAAAATGTCCAGCCGTTGTTCCCCTCCATGTCCCGTCTCATGATGTCATGCAATGACTGTCGCGGCGGGGCGATATCCCGGCGCGCCGGCTGCTCACGCGCCGGCCCGGACGTCGCCCCGGAAGACGCGCGTCACGCGCTCTCCTCCGCTTCCGCGAACCGGCGGCGGCCGGCTCGGGTGCGGCGCGGGCAGGAGCGGCGCTCCGGGGGCCTGTCGCCGACGGCCGAGGCGCGCCGTCGCCGCCCGGTGCACTGACCAGCGACCTGTCCTGCCGGACGCCGCCATTTTTACAGGTGGCGGGCGGTGCGCCGGGCGGCGGCCGTCGCAGCGCGGGAGGGGTGGGGGCGGGCGGCGGCGCCTCTGCCGGCTTTGTGCGACCCCTGACGTCACGATTGGGCAACGGTGCGGCCCGGCGCTGTCGGCAGCTCGCGGGAGGGCGGCGGCGGCGGCCCGCTGCAGGAGGCCTGCTGCGCCGGCAAACTGCTGCGCATGCACACACTAATGGCGGGCATCGGCCGCGCGCTGGACCGCGCCGCCGCCGCCGACCAGTGAGGCGGCCGGCACGTGCACAGCGCTGCCGCGCCGCGCCTGATGCCGCTGGCGCAGACGGCGCTCTGGAAGGCCCGGAGCGGGGTTCGGCTGGGCACTCGGGCGTCGCGGTGTTGGGAGCCACGTGCAGCCCCGCCGCCGCGCCCTGCAATGGTTCCCAGGGTTGGCTGTGCGGAGTTCATTGGGAGTGACGCAACTTGGCCGGAGCGGCCATTTGCTGCAGTGTAAAGCGTCATAACGTTGATTCACTTTGCGCGTGCATTCCGCTCCACGCACCGCGGTTCCGCTCCGCGCTCCCTCTCGGGGTTAATGCGTTCACACAGCCTGCTTTACAGTTACTTGGGCAGGCATGTGTAAGAAGTCGTAGGGTACCTGAGTTCATTTTGCCAGTCGTTCATGATGGTGCGTTTTGTGCCGATGGGTTACCGCGGTGCGGCCTCTAATAGGTCAGCCCTGACGCCGTCCTCTTTCCGTCGCACTCCTCAGCACGGCTCCGGATCCACTTGGCATCAGTTGCCAGCTGTTTTTACTGCCCTGAGAATGTTTTTCGCGTGATGTTCGCACTCTTGAGAAGGCTCAAAGCCATGAAGTTGTTATCACCTGCTCACTCGTCTGATCAGGTGCCGGTGCTTCGAGCGTGCGGGAAGTGCTCTACCATTTCACGTTCCGCTGCGCGTGAAAACGCAATCAAGGTGACGTTTGCTGAAATGCGTTGTGTTGTCATGCGCGTGGTTGCTGTTTGACATGTGTTCTGTCCGTGTGTCGCTTCGGGAGGCTTTGGCTTGAACATCATGCCGTTTGCGTTCAATACACTGCAGTGCCATTCCGTTTATGGTTTCTTCCGTGTGACGCCGCTAAGGCGATGGTCATGTGACGGGGGTGTCGTGTAAACGGCCCGCGTGAGACGGGACTATCGTGTAAACGGCCCGTGTGACACCGAACCACCGCAGACACGGCTGCCGCCTGGTGCCGAGCCGGCACGCCCCAATGCCTGGACAACGGTCAACGTCATCAGAGCAGAGCTTTGCGCGCTCCGCGAACAGCTGTGAGAAGCTAGCGGGCAAGGCTGAATACATTTAGGTCTAAGGACCGCCGGCAAGCGTCAGTCACTCTCTGGCCATCAGCGCACTGCCGGCTTGCGGTTATCAGCATTGCGTATCAGCGTCTACCTTATCAGTGTTTACCGTTATCAGTAATTACCGCCTGGCGATGACTTGTGGTTATGCCCACTGGCGCGACTGCGACGACCGTTACGAGAGCGGTGCGCCGCTGGAGGTGTGAGACCACCTGATGAAGCCAGTCACCAGAAGATGAGCTATGAAGATGTCTCAGCGATGCCCTGTATGCCATGCCGATGTGGAAAAGCTGACTCACGGCTGGGGCCACGGTGAGTGTCTCCACTGACTTTCCGAGCAGGAATCGTTTATATTTCGGCTTCGGAAACCATTCCGTCCTTAGTATCCCTGGGTTTGGCACCGCAATACAAATGAAGCAAAGGTAAAGCTCAGGGTAGTTGGACCGTTCATTACCATTTTTGTGTTTTACTATTGGTTTTTAAGGCTGCATGTCTTGCATTTGTTTCAGGTCAACGTTTTTGTCATCAATTATGTCTTCATGCCACATATAGATCTTCCGTGCTAGTATTGCATGCCGTCACGTACTTGCCTCACATCATCTGCACGTACTTCTCGCTAACGTCCCGACTTGAAATTTGCTTTCCCAATGAATGCGCACGTACCATGCCGTGGACTTCAGGCATGCCGTGCTTTAATGGAGTTAATCCCCCGAGGGACGTTGCCATGTGGCTCAGGGATACGCACACCTGTCTTGCTGTACCCTGCATGTTTGGAACATGCGTAGCGCCTGACAGCCGAGGTCTCTGGTGTCGCCCTGACATTCACATCTCACCCCTGCTCCACCAACATGACCCCACGTGTACCGCGACACCGTACGGAACGCCGTATACATGTCATCGCATTCATTGTGACGCTGCTCTTTCCGTTCAGCATGGGATTATGCAACCGATTATGGGTCCATCCGGTCAATCTACATGATCATATGCCAGTGGACGCACGTGTCGCATCTGTAATGCCTCCTTGATTTGTGAAGACCATTTTCGCTACAACATGCCAATATTGCTTGTTGCGTCCTACGCACAGCCCTAGTGGACACTCGGCTGACGGAACGAAGTTGATTTCCCCTTTGTATCCTTGTCTCGCAATAGCATTGAAAATGAATGATGTTACGGTGTTAAACGGAGGCGTTTACGTCAAATTTAGATTGGCGTTGAAGGGAGTGTTTCAGTCTTGTGTGGAGTTTTAAACTGAAATAGCCATCTTGAAGATTATTCGGTGCGCCCCCCCCCCCCCCGCCCCTCCCCCTCTGGCCCTTCCTAAGACCTCACCCCCGCCACTTTCTGAGCTATACGCCCGCGGAAGTGTGCAAACTTTTTCGGGGAGACTATTTCAAGGTCACCCAGGCATCCATAACGCTATAATAAGCTCATTAAAATCCTGAGCCATGCAGCGATCAAGACCAAAAAAGAATAGAATTGTCGAGTCATTCATATCTGGCGTTCGTAAACACGATTTCCAGATATAACGGCTGTCATCTGGCTCTCAATCAATGTGTTGCAGGTACGATGACGTAATCAAACAACGACGAATTGAGGAGCGTTTGTACCAAACAGCATTGCGCTGTGTAGGGCAGTCTTCTCCATTTAGAAATATACCAGCAGTTAGTAGTGAGCATATTTCATCATATCCCACGATTGTTTCCATATCTTCAGATGGGGAACATTCCGTAAGTTAAGTGCATTGGCGAGGAACATTATTCACATGCGGTAATAGTCCTGTTTCTCCGATAGTTTATTTCTCATTCAATTCTGCTATTCATTTCGATAAAGTCATGTAGTCGAAATATCAACGCATCTGTATCTCCATTCTCCTGATTTTTTTCTCTCCGAGGAATAAGGCTGTCATTGCCACTATGTGGTACTATGTGGAACATTTCCTTTAAACTGACGTTAAATTTTTCCAGAGAGGGGGGGGGGCCTCTTTCGCCGTCCACCTTGACGCTCTCTTCGCACGAGTCTGCATCCTGTTTTGATTCAGTAGCGTGGCACGCTCCGACACCCTCCCGCGGCTCGCGCCGGCCGCGTCCCGTTTTCCTGCCCACCCGATGGCCGCCGTTTGGCGACTCATCCTTCCTGCTGCACCCCTTCCGGCGTGCGTGTCCCCCCCCCCCCGCCCCCGCGCTCTCTTCCCTTCCCTTCCCTGACCGCCCCCTCGCCGTCCCTGCCTCCCTGCCGCGCCGCCGTCCACGGTCCGCCCGGCCGCCGCCGGCCATGGCTGGCAGCGCCATGACACTCCACTATTGATTTGTTTTCTCTTGCAAGTGCAGCGGCGAGGCCAGCGGCACAAAAACTGCGTGCGGCTGCGTGGCCGGGCGGGTCGGCGCGGCGTCCGGGCGCGGCGCTCAGTCGGCGTGACAGAGCGGCGCGCGGCGCAGACGGCCGCCCTCAGCTGACATGCGCCCGCGGCCCGCCGTCTGACCGGGTGAGTCATGACCTGCCGCAACACGGCTCATGGTGCGGCCCCAGCGGCGCATGACGGGCGCCGCCGGGGCCGCGCGCGCGCCATGGGAGGCGGCGTGAGCAGGGTCGGGTGTGAGTGTCGCCGGGGAGTGGTGGTAAGCGGGCCAGGCTGACTCGTGAGGCTGTTTTTGTGACGGTGCTTCAGTGGTGCATGGCCAGTGTGACGGTGGTGGTCTCTGGTGTTTATTTTAGTCGTGTGCAATTGTGCCGTCGGTGCCCGGCGTCGGGGAGGGAGGCCAAATCCGCTATCTTGGCTGCTGCGACAGCGTAAGGGGACAGGCTCATTGTCCAATGACGTGCGGTGGGGGGACAGCAGGGGCCGGGGTACGTCACGGTCTTCTGATAAGATAGTGTCCACGGGTCCGGTCCAGGACTGGGCGCCTGCTCTTCCTCTCTCTCTCTCCCTCCGTCGGGGCAAGTCAGCGGTGATTCTCGCGCTGGACGCGCGTGTCGCCTCCTGTCGACCAGCCTCGCTGCTGAGATTGACTTCCGGACTGGCTGGGCAAGTCTGTCGGCCAGTCTGGGCGTCTGTGTCGCTGTCTGTGCGTCTGGCGTGCTCTCGTGTTCTCGCTCAAGGATTGGCGTGCTCTCGTGCTCTCGCTCAGGGACTGGCGTGCTCTCGTGTTCTCGCTCAAGGACTTGGTGGGTGTTCTCTCATGGGCCTAGCCCGCGTCACTACTTGGGCCATTAATTGGCGTCTGTGTCGGGGCCTGGCTACGCGCGTTCGTGGTCAGGACCTACGGGCTAACGACTTGGCTATGTATTTGTGGTAGGAACTTAACTATGGCGTCGGTCGGTAGTCAGGGACTTGATGAAATGATTTAAACAGTTAAAGGAAATCCTGGAAAATGCGTATCGCTTCAAAACACGTTTCTTATCTGGTTCAGCCCCTTTGTTCGAAGTTACCGTTTAGGAACTAGTTGCAGCAAGTGGACACGGCTGCATTCAGTCAAATGGAGCATTTTAGTGAAAAGTTTACTCCAGCTTATATAGCATTGCATGGAAAGTGCTACCTTTGAAAGTGAGCAACCTGTGACGCGTTTTTGAATGGTTGCCCATCCTGGACCCGGTTTCTTTAATGGAACAGCTTATTATGAGTACTGTGCTATTTGTGGGTAGTTTTGTTCAGATCTATCTTTGCCATAGCGTCTTTTCGTATGGATGTTGCATGTGCGCGGGCTGGAGGCACTGGGACGCTGTCCCAAGAGAGGGGTGTGATATTAGTACTGGATGACTATGCGCGAACAAGAGTCGGGTTTTCCTAGGCCCGGGTGTCCTGAGCGATCAGGGTTAAGTGGTGCACATGAAGGGATAAAGTCGGACGTCTGCTATAAGGAGAAGTAAAGACATGAAAGGGCGAGTGAATGTAAGAAGCGATGCACACAATTTGCAATCAGTTGTGCGACTTCGCGATGCATGTTGGACATGGAGCTGCTAGACTGGCCAGTCCATGGCTTCTGCCTCATGAGGACTGGGGGAACATGGCTACGACATAGCTACTTCATCTCAATCAGTGAAATCAAAACTCGTCAATATTGCAGCATTGCAAGGGAAGCTGACGTCCTCACAAACTAGGCTTTCAGACTGAGCTCTGGGCTTAATCTGTGTTAATGGACGCGTCGATGTGAGCATCAACGCGCATTTGTCGCGAGCATTAACATGGGATGGGTGCATACCTACTGGTTAAAATTGTATGTCATGTACCCATTTGTCTGTTAACTGCTGGCGATGATTGAGAGCCCTGGGATAGTTGGGAGCACCCTCGCTCTACTAAGGCGAGTACCTTATAAAGGCAAACGTTATTGCTTGAAGCATTCTGTCTAGAAACTTGTCCGTTTCCTGATTGTCATATATATATATATATATATATATATATATATATATATATATATGTCACTAAGCAGTACGTATTGTATAAGGTTGCACAGTAATTTTGCCGTTTAGTTAGGATTCAGCCAAAGTCAAACCTGTTTATGTAAGCTACAACTTCCTCAGCATATACAGATACGAACTCACAACGACTTTTGTTTATGTTTGTTTTCCCGGACATAAATGTGCGCAGAACGTTGCCCGTGACTTGATCGTGGCTGTGAAATGCAAACGTAAAGCGCAAAAGTAGTCACTCGTGCTCAAATTTGCGCGAAAATTGGTTTAGCTTGTTCGTAATGTAAGTTTCGAAGCAGCGAATCGTCTTCATCTTACTTATTTAACTTAGAATAATTATGAATCCGATTTTTCCCAGAGCGTTCTACTATAGCTCACTACTACTTATCTACTATCTATGAAAAGTGGTCTGATCACGCATGTCTTACAAATCGTCAGAGGTGGGAAGAGCCCTAGCGTATAGGACGAGGTCTGCGCGGTTGAGTCCGGAGTAAAGTGTGGTGGGGTGAATACCGAGCAGAGCCAGCTGTCACATGAATTCCAATCCTGCGGTGTGGAATCCATGGAGTTGTAATTTCGGAGGCATCACCGCGCTAACGTGCGTGTTGGTGTCTCCCGTGATGTCCTCCAGATGCATGCGCTGTGGCATGCGCACACGAACCTTAATCCAACGTCATGATTGGCTGAAGTCAATGTTAGCATTCGTGGTAATGTTACTGGCATTTAGCTGCAACCATGATTTCCATCCATTTCCAGATTTTGCAGTTTGGGCGTGCTCCTGTTCCAGACACAAAATGGCGGACCAACAGTTTTGCCTGCGATGGAACAACTTCCAGAACAACATCATCTCGTCGTTCGAGTACCTCCGATCGGAGGAGGACTTCGTGGACGTGACGCTGGCCTGCGAGGGCAGGAGCCTAAAGGCGCACAAGGTCATTCTTTCGGCCTGCAGTCAGTACTTCCGTGACCTTCTCAAGGTGAGCTCATGCCGCTGAGCCGCGGCGCTCTGCCAATGGCGGCTTGTGTTGGGGTTCTATGAACATGTGGCTCAAGTCATGCCATCTACTACTGCGGGTGACACGCGTTTGCTCTCACTTTCTCCAAGTTACTAGTAAATGCATTTGGCGTATGCTTGCTAGTGTGGGGATTGTGGACGGCGAATGACTGGTCAATACTTAAAGTTTTCTTCCTTTCATTTCTTCTCTTTTTTGTTGTTCTACTTGGAGTAAAGCTCTGAGAATATAGCTGCTACTTAGGACTGTCTTATAGCATCACGTTCATTAGAGGGGAATTTTATGCATTTTTTGGCAACGTATGGCGTGTGGCGTCTCGCCTCAAAGCACTTGACTTCTGCGTGAAGAGCCATGGGTGTTGAGTCAGACTCTAGGGGTGCTTTCCGGCGGCTACGGCCACCTCAGGGCGGTGTCCCCCAGCCGTTCTAGCCCGTGCCGGAGGGGGTCCCCGTGCGCGCTGGGACAGGGCGTGATCTGCTGGTAGGCGCGCTGGGACCGCCGCGCGGTGATGACCGCGGGGCATCCTGCGCCATGTTGTCGGGGTCATATCCTGCTCGTTCGTCTTGGACGGTTTTTCTGCCGGCCGGTGCTTACCCACGCTGTGACAGTTTGCTGACGTGTTTGCTCGGTAAGCATGAAGTGAGTGTGGTTTAGCTGTGTGATGTAACCGTACACGTCGCAGTGCGGTCAGTAGTCGATACTGCAAGTGTCGGGCGATGATGCGTCGATGAACAACAAGTTTTGATTCAAAACAGGGATGCAGTGCGCTGCAGTTGAGCTACAGAGCCGAAATCCGCCATTATAGTTGAACTTCGGAAGCTCAAAAGTGGGTAATGCCAATGCAAAAAAGGTTTACCTCGGACAGAGGAGGTTGACTGTTTCGGCGACGGACAATGACTAGCATTCACTTGTGTTGAATGCCAATAGTCTCGACTTACCGAACAATCTCATGGCGCCCCCTGGCAATACTTATATAAAGCTATCCCCGGAGGGAGCCGTGGGAGAAGCGCCGAGGAGCATCTTGAACCAGTCAGCCCCTGATGTTTCCAGCTACGATCTAACCTGGAGTAAATGGACTGCTGCAGATTCACCGTAATGGGCAGGCTTAGCCGGTCTTAAACGTCATCCTTTGATGGGCGGACAAGGCGCATGGCAATTTCGACAGTTCAGAGGCGGCTGAGGTCTCGCTGCCTCTTAAAATGCGAGCTCTCCAGTTTCACTTCATGTGCGGCTCACGTTTGTCAGTTGGATTAATGGCGCCACAGCCCTGCCCACCAGGCACGGGCAGAGCACCAGAAAGCCAGCAGCCTCGCGCAGAGGTGGTGCGCGTGCGCTGGTGCGGTGGGCGGTCCGCCGTCGCCGACCGCCGCTGCGGGGTCAGGCGGCGCCGGCGGCCGCCTCCCACGTGCGCGGCCGCGCCGATGGCGGCTGCAGCCCGGCTCGGGAGCACCAGCCGCCGCCTGACCTCTGCATGTCGCCGGCGACCTTGGCCGGTGTCGCTGCAGCCGGCGCATAAACAGCGTGCCTGCAGAGCGCCGCTGACTCAAGCGCGCCGTCTTGACGAGGGCCGGCGCACGGGGCCCGTGTTTGTCGCGGCCCGGGCGGCCGTGGCATGCGGCGCCCACCGCTGTACCTGATGCCGCTCGGCGGCGACGCTGCAGCGGCGCCAGATGTTGCGAAATCGGGGAGATGTGCAGAACCGGACGCGCCTGAGGGTTCAGATTAGAGCTGGGCGCTTGAATTCGACGAAGATTCGAACGTTCGGGCCAAATATCCGGATTTGCAAATGAGCCCATGCCGGATTAGTGTTCAACTATTTGAAAACATTCTATTACCTTCCTATAAAGAGCATGAATATCTGCGAAAAGCGCTTAGGCTGAATTTTCGAAATCTAATTTAGAGCTGATTATGACGGGGTCTGTGCCCGAAGGGATACCATCGAGTTGCATGCCGTCCAGTCTGACGGGCTCGAATTCCAGGGGAGCGAGCTGCGGCGGCATTGCCGGCACACCACCGGTGTATCAGGCTCCCATTGCCGGCGCACCACCGGTGTATCAGGCTCCCATTGCCGGCACACCACGGTGTATCAGGCTCCCATTGCCGGCGCACCACCGGGTGTATCAGGCTCTCCCATTGCCGGCACACCACCGGTGTATCAGGCTCCCATTGCCGGCACACACCGGTGTATCAGGCTCCCATGCTCGGCGCACCCGGTGGTTCAGGCTCCATGGCACACCACCGGTGTATCAGGCCTCCCATTTGCCGGCACCCACACCACCGGTGTATCAGGACTCCCATTGCCGGCACACCACCGGTGTATCAGACTCCCACTTGCCGGCACACCACCACCGGGTGCTATCAGACGCTTCCCACATGCCGGCACACCACCGGTGTATCAGCTCCTCCCACTTGCCGGCACACCACCGGTGTATCAGACTCCCACTGCCGCCACGCCACCGGTGTATCAGGCTCCCATTGCCGGCACACCACCGGTGTATCAGGCTCCCATTGCCGGCACACCACCGGTGTATCAGGCTCCCATTGCCAGCACACCACCGGTGTATCAGGCTCCCATTGCCGGCACGCCACCGGTGTATCAGGCTCCCATTGCCGGCGCACCACCGGTGTATCAGACTCCCATTGCTGGCACACCACCGCTGTATCAAGCTCCCATTGCCGCCACACGACCGGTGTATCAGGCTCCCATTGCCGGCACGCCACCGGTGTATCGGGCTCCCATTGCCCGCACACCACCGGTGTTTCAGGCTCCCATTGCCGGCACACCACCGCTGTATCAGACTCCCATTGCCGGCACACCACCGCTGTATCAGACTCCCATTGCCGGCACACCACCGCTGTATCAGACTCTCTAGGCGCCCGCCCCCGCGAAAACAAGTCGTAGAAATATCGAAGCGCTTAGACCGAAAGCCTTGCAGTGCATTATGATTTCAAAGGTCTTATGCCGACAATAATCGGCCTACAACATACCTCAATATACCGGTAGGTACGGGTTAAGCGACGTGTTCGAACAGACGTTGGCGTTATTTGCCTGACTGCGTCGAGTAACCAGTGCCTACTGGTATATTGAAGGACGATTGCTGCCAGCTTAGGAGCTCCAAACTCATATTGCCGATAAAGCAGAAGCTCGGGGGTTGTCTTGCTTAAATCATGCCTTGCACTTTTTCCATCAGGCCTTGCACTTTTTCCATTAAGCCTTACAGTTCTTCCCATGAAGCCCTCCATATTTCTGTAAGGCTTGATGGGAAAAAGCCTGCAACGCTTGATTCAAGCAAGGAAACCCTCGAGCTCCTGGTTTGTGGGCCACTCGCGAAAGAGTGGTCTACGTAGGTAGTAGAAACAACAACTATTCTTCGCTCTGACCCTTTGGCTGGCTTATTTATGCATGTACAACATCACGGATCTGCTATTCCCACCATAAATATTGACGATCCTCCTTGATGCCATAGCCTGTAGACCCATAACGTACTCGGAAATATGTCCATGACCCGCTCACCACACGTTCACCTGAATATTTATTTGGTCTTGTACGTAAAATTCTGAATGGTCCAGTAGACCCGCCCGGATATTTCAATACCGAAAAACCGGATCTCGGCCTCAAACCATGTCTTTTCATCGCCATATGCTTAATCAGTGAAGTTGGCCAGGGGACTTTTTGCAGCGTGCTCCTCACAACTGCATAACATTGGTAGAAATCTCGAAATAACTTCGAGATACAATCAGGTCGGACCTGTTGACGATCCATGTGCCCGTGAAGCGTACATATTTTCTTATAGCTAGCATTGATGACATGGGCGTTAATAGTTCACCGAGTGCTGCCAATATGTCATGCGCGACCAGGCGGGCTGAAATCAACAGGAAGCCGTTGCGAGTTCCCTGTCCTGGTACTACCCCGCCATCCCCGTCACTGACTCCTCTGGAAGCGTGCTTAGCGCCGGCGCCGTAGTGTCGTCACCAGCTGCGCACCACATGTCTGACGTTCTGAGGCCGAACAGGCCGATGACATTGAGTGCGCGGCGGGGTGAAGGATCCGTGTGTCAGAGGCCGTGAGTTGACGTTGCGACACGCGGGCCTGCGGTTGCCGGGCGTACCCGCCCTGGCGCCCGGCCGCCCTGGCGCGCCGCCGCCCGGCCTCCCTCCTCACAGCAACGACGCTGTGGTCGGCAAAGCACGCGCGACAGCGGCGCGGCTGCCCGAAAATCACGTTCAAGCAGGGCAATCAGGCTAGTTCTTTCTGCAGACCCACAGAAAGGTCGAGATTCAGAAGCATCCGTCGAGTACCCACCTGCTCTGCCCTCTAGAACGTATGGAAAATTCCATTCATGGCGCCTGAAGACCGACGCCTATCGTCGCTTATCAGTGTCCGGGTCGGTCTCCGGAGGCCGAGAGATGACCACGCCGTCCGTCAGAGCCTGCGTCCCGCCCGGCCGTCTGCCAGATTCCGCGTCCTGCCCGGCCGTCTGTCAGGGCCCGCGTGCTGCCCGGCCGGCCGCCAGAACCCGCGTCCTGTCCGGCCGGCCGCCAGAGCCCGCGTCCTGCCCGGCCGTCTGTCAGGGCCCGCGTGCTGCCCGGCCGCCCGCCAGAGCCCGCGTCCTGCCCAGCCGTCTGTCAAATCCCGCGTCCTGCCCGGCCGTCCGTCAGGGCCCGCGTCCTGCCCAGCCGTCTGTCAGAGCCCACGTCCTGCCCGGTTGTCCGTCAGAATCCGCGTCCTGTCCGTCCGTCAGGGCCTGCGTCCCGCCTGGCCGTGCAGCCTCCTCCCCGGGCCGGCCCGGCAGGCCCGGACGGAAGGCTCGCTATCGGCGCTATCCGGCTCGCCGCGCTGCTGCCGGGCGACCCCCACCCCCCACCCCTCCCCTTCCCCGTTCCCTGCACGGTTGCAACACCGCCGCGCTGACCTTGGGGAGTCACACATGCCCGCACACACACACACACACACGCATACAAACAGGGCGCCATGTTCGCGCGCGCGCGCGGGCAGCGGACAAAAATAGGCGGCGGCGGGACCTGGCCCTGGCCCGGTCGACCGCGAGGTGCGGTCCTGTGCAGGCAGCGCCGGGAACGCGTCGCGGTCTGACCAGGCAGAGGTCAAGGCCTGACCCGGAATGTCGGTCCGATCCGGGCAGAGGTCATGGCCTGACCCGCCAGAGGTCACGGCCTGACCCGGCTGAAGTATCAGCCTTACCCGGTAGGGGTCACGGCCGGCTGGGCCTGAGTCCAGCCTGGCCCTGTCGCCGCTCCGAACGGTGCACGCGCTGGGAAAGGCTGGGGATTCTTCCGGGGAGGGATGAGCCGCATCCGTCGCTGGATGGAGAGACCGTGCGGTCCGCGGTGCGCGTGCTCAGCCGTCCCCGCGTAGGGATGACCGCCCGGCCTGGGTTCGTGGCGGCCGTGCGGTCCAACATGTGGACGTCTCTTCGGTGCGGGTTGAGAGCGTTCGTCCGGTTCTGCGGGCTTGGCGTCCGACCGGTCCGCGGCAGGGAAGCCCGTCGAGTCCCGTGTCGAAGTGTCCACGCTGTCAGGGCTGCGGGTGTCCGCCCGGTGCGGGTCCAGAGAGTGGACGTCGGCCCGGTCCCGGCTGGCAGCAGCTGTCGGCTCGGCGGTGGCGCAAGCCGACGGGCGGTCGTCTGTCTCTGAGCCCGGCGGACTCGTTCCGTGGCGGCACGGCGACCTGTTCTCCAGGGCAGCCGGTCGCCGCCGCCGCCCGTCCATTTTGTTTTGCGTCCGGTCCCGACTCTCCACGGTCGCGGGCTTACCTTTCGTGTGACGTCATCTGTGGCTGGCCGTCGCCGCTGATGTAAGACTGCACTTCCTGCTCTTCGGGTCAGGTCTTGTGTAGAGCCTTGATATCCGTATGTTCGTCATGGCGCTGGACGGATATGAACCGCACAGCTACAAAAAATTCCAAGCTGAACCCGGTGCCAACTCAGATCGCGGCCGCGCACTGCTACGCTGCGGATACCGTACCGCAAAGCACTTCTTGTGCAGGTTTGGCCGCCGCCTACGAATGCTGCGCCGCAACACTCACGCCGGCTTCCCATGGTGAAGTCATGTTGCTGCCTGAGCATGGTTGTTGCGTGCTGGAACCAAAGCCTTCCAGACATGCTGCAGCCCTGAGAGCGAATGGATAGCGCAAAAAGTGACATCATAAAGCCCAGGAATTAAAGCGGCATTCTCAGCGCACATGCACACCTCAGAAACGATGGTTTATCCGCGTCCAATCAAGAAAACGAAGAACAGTCCATGAAGAGGAGGAGGAGCGGCCTCCTCCGGTGCGCGCCGCCCGGCTGCCGGTGTCGAGAGCGGGACGGGTGGTGGCTGGGCTCGCGCATGTGCGGCACGCCGTCTTTCATAGCGCGGGAACGGTACACAAGGCCAGCGGCCGACGGCAGCGGCGCCGGCCGCCATCTTCGACCGGCCCCGGCCCGCGCCCAGCGGCGGCGCGGGCGCTCTGACGTCACGACCACCGAGCGCAGAAGTCTGCCCCGGACGCTGCGGCCGCGGGGATGCCGCGGCTGACACTGCGGGAGGCAGGTCAGCCGTCTTAAGAGGGAACTTTACATCGAATGCGTACGCTATGTTGGCAGTTCTCCGCTGAGTGGCGACCCCCGCTGTCGAGCACCGCCAATAGCGAGACGCGATCTGTGCAGCGTACTCAACAATAGTCACAGTCCTGCTCGCAGAAACATCGACAATGCTGCATATGCAGTTGATCCGGCGAAGTTTGCATTCCCGCAGAGATGCACGTTTACATATAGATAGGTAGATGCATACATACATGTATATACATGTATATGTTTACAAACATGTCAATTTGAATGTATTTATACATATATATATATATATATACATATATATGTATATATATGCATGTATACATGCATATGCATATGTATGCATATATATATATATATATATATATATATATCGCAATAAATGCGCTTCTTAGGACCATTAGTAAGCTTATTCATTTTTGCCGTAATTCCATTTCTTCCTTAAGACGAAGAAGGTGGCCTTGGAAATCACCCACGCACATATGTGACGTAGAAAAACATTTCAGATAGGGATGTAGTTTCGATTAAGCTAGAAGGGCTCTAGCCATTTAGTTTTGCCAGCAGCTTTTCCTTTTCCAAACTGATTTTTTTCCTCCCTGCACTGATTCAATAGTTCCTTTACTTTCAACGACGTTGGACGGCGCGTTGGCTGCTGGTCACGTAATTAACTGTAGCACAGCGTCTGACACCCTGGATTTATAATCAGCCCCCCGGCATTGCACAGCTTGTTGACCTAATATTGAACATCAATGTGTGTTCCATTAGGCTCATCAACAAGGTGTTTCGGATGCCAATGACTCAAGTATCTTTCCTTCAACCGTTTATTGGGTGCAGGTGCTGCCGGTAGAGCAGTCATAGTTTATTACGCCTCGGTCTTGAAGCGCTAGGTTTCGTATCGTATCCTTAAAGCTGTCTGGCTGTTGCCATGGAGATACACACAAACAACGTCCGATTTTCAACTAGATTAACGATAAGAAGTGTGGTCTTCGAGACGACTGGGTTAAACCTTCTTTTATTTTGAAGTATGTAGGCCGACATGGTACCTCCTGATGAACGATGGTAGTCCAGGATTTACAGCAGGCACTCTGATGATGCGTATGTTGCAGTCATGGTAACGAACCTCGACATGTGTTCAGCTAACTTCATCAACACCAACGTCGTCTTTCCGTTACAACTGGTCCAGCCGTCCACTCATGTGGGCCCATTCAATGGCTGTTCGTCGAGCGGTTACACCTAATACGGCCTTCAACGTATTGGGCTCCCGGTTGGCAGCCTGAAATTGCATTCGATTTTGACATGGAAATAAGCTTGGACATTTTTTCTACCACATACCTGTATCAAAAAGGTCTCTGCAGTAGGTGATCTCCCTCGCCAACAAACCAGCAAGCATGCCCCATACATGCCGATATGTCTACATGACAGGCTGCTATTTTGGAAATGGTTATGCCTTCTTTGACACCCTGGACTTAGTTCTGCGCACTTACATTGCCCAGCTTATCAGCATATTGCACTATAATACGCATAACGAAAAGAGCATGCAACGTAGGAAGTATTTCTTACGTTAGGGTACTATTAATACCGTCATTCTGCACCCGACTATCGTTGCCATTTGCGCTCAGCCGGCCCCCCACGCAGCATGTGTTGTTCAACTTGGTTGGTGCATTATCGCGCCAAATGTATCTTTGTGCACGTTTTCGTCACTTCATTGGCGGCTTTAATGCACGCGTGCACCTGTCGTCCTTGGAGGGTTCTCCGTTCGAGTCTGACGTGACGCCGACGGCTCGACAAAAAGTGGCGTTGGACATTGCCCTGACGGCCTTCGACGAGCTCTTCATCAGCGCGGCCATCCGGCGGATGTGAACGCCTCTCCGCTGTACCGGCGTTGCGAGGCGCCGCCTAGTTCTCCGCGATGGTTTGATTGTGGTCATCGTTCTCTTGATGGGCACTGGCGGCTTACAGTTGCAGTGCGATATTGGATGCGGCTCGCGTTCTGGAATCGGAGGTCGGACAGCGCAGTGTGGCGTTTGACGGCACGCCACTGCCACGTGACCCACTGACCTGTCTGCCCCGCACCCGACCCGCACTGTCACGCGCCACCTCTCGCTTTCAGACCACGCCGTGCTCGCATCCGATCATCGTGCTGAAGGACGTCTCGTTCGACGACCTGTTGTCCCTCATGTGCTTCGTCTACCAAGGCGTCGTGTACATCGGCCAGGAGCGTCTGACGCAGTTCCTCAAGACGGCCGAGTTTCTGCAGATCAAGGGCCTCTCGGAGCACTGCATCGGAGAGCCGTTCGCCCGCCAGCAGCCGGCCACGCAGTCGTCGCCCAGCCAGTCGGCGCCGGCGGCGGCGGCGCCCTCGCCGCAGCCGCGCTCCGGCACGCCGTCGCCGGCGCCCTCCTTCAAGGAGGCGCCGCGGCCAACGCAATCGAGCGCGCCGCTGCCGCCGGCCAAGCGCCGCAAGCCGCTCTACCCGCTGCACACGCCGGTGCCGAGCTCGACGGCGGCGCCCGGCGGCGGCGGCGCCGAGTTGCCCGGCACGTCCAGCTCGCCGTCGCGGCCGTCGCAGTCGTCGCCGTCGGAGGCGGCGGCGGCGGCGCACAACGGGCTGGCGCGGCCTGACGGCGGCGAGCTGGCGCAGGAGGAGGCGCTCAGCCTCGTCACCGAGACGTCCATCCTGCGCCAGCGGATCGAGGGCCGCTCGGCCGACCTCGAGCCGGTCAAGGTCGAGACGAACGGGCCTGGCAGTCCGGCCGGCGAGCACGCCAAGCTCTCGCCCGGCCCGCTCCTCATGGACCCGAATGCTATCAGCATGGTGGGCCGCGAGTCGATCGGTACGTGCCGGCGCCGCACCGCGCGCCGCTCGAGGCGACGGGCGTTCGGGTCTGTGTCTGCGGCCGATAGCTGGATGTCATGAGTCATTTGTGAATAACTCCCTCCGTCTGGAACTGCATGCAGAGCATTGGGATTTACTTAAGAATCTGTAGCCAGCTTATTGGCTAGCATAGCTCGTTTTCGGGTCATCTATGGTCTTACTAACACCATCACAACAGTATCATGCTGGATCGAATATGCGGTCAAGATAGATGGCATGACCGAGTGAGTTGGAGGGCATCCCCTTCCATGTTGTGACGTTTCGAGAGGTACCTGAGCAGATCCCGTGTAGCGCAACGTCACCCGGCAGCCGGGGATTGCCTCTGGCGGGCTTCGACCGTTAGCGGCGCGTCCTCGAGCTGGCCTCGTCGGCCGGCGCAGCGCGTGCTGACCGGAGCTGGCGCCGTCCGCAGGGTTCCCGTTCCTGTCGCAGCCCGGCACGAGCTCCCTGCTGGCCACCGCCACGGCGCTGCCGCCGGCCGGCCCGGACGATCAGCAGATGTCGTACGGTGAGTGTGCGCACGCCGCCGCCGCCGCCGCCCCGCCGCCGCCGCCGCCCCGCCAGAGCCGCATGTCCGACCGAGCGTAGGCAGAGCGACGCATGTCGTAGAGCGCCGTCGGCCGCCGGCGCGGCCGCAGCCGGCGGCGCGGCGCGCGGCGCCCTCAGTAACACGCGCTCTGCTCTGTCGTTGCAGATGCCCAAATGCTGTTGCGCGCCGGTTCGCCACGGTACCGGCAGCGCTGGCGCTGCATGCAGCCCTCGGTCTGTCCCCACTGTCTGCGCACCTTCTCCAACGCCTTCAACCTCAAACAGCACATCATCAACGTGCACACGTTCGGCAACGAGCTCAAGTGCGACGTGTGCGGCAAAGTGCAGAAGAACAAGTGGTACCTGAGGAAGCACATGGTGAAGTCGCATAACGCGCCGCTGCGTCGCGTCAAGCTGCCCGACGGCAGCATGGTGAACACGGAATGACTGGGGCCCGCCGCTGGCCATGGGCTGACTTGGCTGACCGAGCGCGTTCCATCATGACGGCGATCCTTCCCGCCCCGCCTGGACCCGTAGGATGTTGCGACGGATTGGCGCGCGCTGCGCGGCGGCGCGGCGCGACTCTGTTGTTCGTCTGGCATGGATGTTCGAAGAGCTAGAGCTTAGCTAGTTTGTGACCCTTCTTCAGTATCTTCGGCATGTTCTGCTATCGGCATCCATACCCGCTCATAGTTCTACGTTCAGTTAGCTTAACCAATAGCGCGTGCGTAAATGGAAAGTTTCGTCACAACAGCTCTGCCGGCGTTTAAATAGTACTAAATTTTTGGTAACGTAACAGTGGAAAAAGGCCTTAAGCATTCCGAAAATTTCGTAACTTTCAACGTGAGAAAAGCTCTTCAGCTCTCTGAAATTTCTCTAGCGTACCGGCTAAGGCGAGGGCTCTCAGCGTCTCGCCGTCGGGCTAGCCGGCTCGCGCCTGCAGCGGCCGTTGCGTTATCCCGTCGGACGCTGCGCTGGCTCGGCACGCTCGGGAGCGTTACCAGCCGGCTCCCTGCTATTTCAGCGGCCGGCGCGGAAGAGAGGCGCAGTCGCCAGTGGAGCTCGCGCCAGCCGCGCGTCTGTCCAATATGTAACGGGCTCTTTTCCAACAAGTTCAACCTCAAACAGCACATTGTCAACGTGCACACCAGCTCCGCCGGCGTCGAGTGCTCGCTCTGCAAGAAGGTGTGCAAGAACAAGTGGTACCGGCGCCGCCACGAGGTGGTCGTGCACGGCGCGCCGCTCAAGCGCGGGCGCCTCGGCACCGACGTTTTCTAGCCGGCCCATCGCAACCACTCTCCCTCCCAACCGCCCCGCCCACCCCGACGTCCCACTCCCGAACCGTGCAATACCGCGGGCGCCAGGTCGAGTCAAGTCAGTCCAAGTGCCAAAGATAGGGCGGGCGGCCTCCGCGAGGGGCCAGCGGTCGGCCGGCGGCCGCCCGGGGTAGGGCGCCGCCGGCCGACCCGTACTTAGCCGCCGGCGATAGACGAACGACGGCGACGTGCGCTACCGGCGGGCCCGGCGAAGCGGGGCCCGCGCGGGCAGAGTGCACGAGCAGCTTCTGAAGCGGCGTGTTGTGTGAATCACTATTTCCGTTGTTGTCTCTCCATAAGTGGGCGGACGCGCCGCCACAGAGCCAGCCGAGCGCGCGGCGTCGGGCGGCGCGCGCCACCGCACCGACCGCCTCAGTACAACGCCGATACATCACCCGATCTACCTCACAACAGTTCCCGACCGGGCAGTCCCCTGTTACGCAGCAGCCCCGAACGCCGGCCGTTCCTACACGCCGCGGCGCCCTGGCCAGGTGAGGGCGGCGCTGCGCGGCGCGGCGGCGCCGGCGGCCGCCCTTCTATGGCATTGATCGGCGGTCCCGCCGCCGCCGCCGCCGCGCGCGCGCGCGCGCCATGCCGCCCCGCCTAGGCCCTGCAACTGCATTGTTATTGAGGCAGGCCCGGAATAGAGTTGGCGGCGGCCGCTGGCAGCGGCGCGGCTGCAATAAATTGCATGATTCATGGTGCGGCGCGGTGGCCGCCTGCCATCGCACATTAATTACGGCGGCCGGCGTGTGGCGTTTGGCTGGCGTCGGCCTGCCGCCGCCGCCGCCGCGGGGCTGCCCGGCTGTGCCGGCCGGCTCCGGCTGCGGCGGCGGATGCGACGCCGGCTGTGCCAGCCCGGCCCGCTCCGTCTGACGCTCAGCTGGAGGACGGAGCAGGGCCGTGCGTGTGCCTGACCTGAGGTCATCACTGACCGTCAGCGGCAGAGGCGCCTTCATCTCGTGATATTTGCGAGGCTAACGTAATGCCCTGACCGGGATAAAGAGAAAACTGCAGTCGGCGCAGCAAAAACTGAGCCGACGTTCAGTGTTCCGCATCGCGGGCACCGCGCCGCCGCCTCAGCAGTGTTGGACGGCCTCGCCGGCAGCAGGCGGGCGCTGCCGTCGGCGGTCGCCGCCCCGTATCACTCCCATCCGACAGCCGGCCCCCCAGATATTCGTGTCGCTTCCGCGGCGAACGGCGCGCGCGCCGAGGCCACCATCCGAGGGAGCATACGAGAAGCTTACGATAGGGCATGTTTGTTGATAGGTCTAGTCTTGTGGCATTCCTTTGTTTGTTGTATTAGGTTAGGCCGGGGGTGAGACGGAGCCGCCCGTGTTCCGAATGTGAGCCTTGGCGGCGGGCGCCGGTCGTATTCAGAATAGTTGGCGACCACGCCTGTGACGATCGAGCGTGCTCTTTTCCGTTCGTTTCTTCACTATCGGCATTTATCGTCGGCATTAGTATATCGTTATGTCTGGCGGGCCATCGCAGACATGCCGTCGCCGAAGCGTACAAGTGCTGTCCCGTGTGAGGAGGAGCGCCGGTGGAATTGCTTGCGCCCCGGGGGGTGGTCGCAGCTGTGCGGCGGACTGATTGCGGATGGCTGAGACTGGGCTGATCCGGTGATGGTTTCAGATTGCACTGTAGTGTGGAGCTTTCACCATGTGCTGTACGATCACTGTTTGCTCCTTTTCGCTTTGACCTCTGTCGGCTATCTATCCGTTGGCGATTTATGTGTGGTGACCTTTGATGACAGGTTGTACGTTCAATGTCCGTAACGATATTCAGCTTGGATTATGTGTCGGCGAAATTAAGGTTTGCTCCGTACCGCGCGTTAGAAACTGCCAGTTTTACGCTGTATGCCTGAAGCTCTCCTCTATCGTTCATGTTAGACCCTTTCCTTGTGCGTGACGGCGCTGTGCCTCTGCGTGTGGTACCACCTGCAGTGCTCGCGGCTCCTCTATGAAACGAGGCGTAATCAAAATATCCTCCCTCCAGGTGCAAGCTCTTGGAGTAATGTCGTTTGTATCGAACGCTCAACGCTGCCCCATGGCCCGCTTCCCTCCGAGCCCCCGCCCCGTGCCTAGCACGCGGGGGTACACGTGGGCGCGTGCTGAGCACAGCCCTCCGGTCATCCACACGTGGGCTCACGCGAGCGGACGTGGTGCAGTCGCACCAAGTGCGGTCGCAGTGCGGCCGCCGGCATGCTGACGCACTTGCACATGGGAGCATTCACGCCGTAGGTAGTCCGAAATGACCCTAGGTCGCGGCCTGTTCAGTGGTGCCTGCCGTTCCCCAGTTCAAAAACTGGCGTGGCATCGAGCGCGGCTGCCTAAGTCCAACTTGGCGCGGCCGCCCCTCATGAACCACACCGCGTGGCTAAACTCGCTATTGATTTTGTCGGCCAATCATTACGGCCGCGGTTGGCGTCGCAGACGCCGGCACCCCGCTCCCTCCGCGCGCTCTCCCTGTCTCCCGCTCTCTGCATGAGAGGGTGGGGGGCTGGGCCGCCGCCGCGAGCCGCGCGCACGCGCCGCCGGCGTCAGGAGGCCGGTCGTGAGGCAGGTCAGGCGGCGGCGGCGGCGGCGGCGACGGCGACGGCGGCGGCGGCCCCGGCCGAGTCCGGCCCCAAGCATCATCCCGACCTCCCCCGCCCTCGGGCCCCAGGTCCGACGGTCTAGAGCCTCGCGCTCTCTCCCCTCGGGCCCCAGGTCCGGCGGTCCAGAGCCTCGCTCTCCCTCTCTCCCCCTCTGTCTGTCGCGTGTGTGCGTGTGCTGGCCGTCGGTTGATAGCTGCCGTGTCCGGAGGGCGGGCAGAGGCGCGAGCGTGAGCCTGGACGCTCCAAGCGTCTGCAGGCCGAGGGGAGGAACGTGATGGCGGTGGGACTGTTTGCCCTTCAGCGGCCCTCCGCCGCCGTCTCGCTTAGCGGGTGGCAACGGATAGTGCTGGCTTGTACATGCAGTGGGAGAGTTTGTAGGTACTCGCAGCCACTGGCGTCATCAAGTGGTGTGTGATTTATAGGCGTGCCCGTGCCAAACCTATGTAATAAATGCAACACCCCGTGTACATGTTGTTTTGGTCGCACATCCATGCAGTTCGAAGGAAAAAAATCTGCTGCATACGACAGGCTAGAAGGTGG